CAGAAAACAAGACGCAACTCATCATATTTCGTTTCCTCGCCGGTCTAGGTGGGAGCCCGCCTCTGGCAGTCGGTATGGGTGTACTCGGCGATGTCTGGCGCGTAGAAGAGCGTGGCCGAGCAAGCGCGACGTATTCACTAGCGCCTCTCATGGGCCCCGTCATTGGACCTGTCATCGGCGCGTGGATCTCGTCGCATACGACGTGGAGATGGGTGGTGAGTAGCCGCCTTTTGGTTGCATAGCGTATTCATGACTGTCGATAGTTCTGGTCCACGAGCATCTTCGCGATGGCTGTTCAAATCATGGGATTCTTCTTCTTACAAGAATGTGAGCGTGTTCTGGATCATATGAATGTTTCATCTAAGCCCGGCTCTTACAGCATTCGCTCCTGTACTGCTGGAGCAGAAAATGGCGAGGCTACGCAATGGGGAGGATCAAGAGAAGGGCGCGCGGAGGTATAGAACCGTGTTTGAGGCGTCAGAGACTCGGAGGTAATGTGGTAATAACCACTTCTAGATTCTATGCTAACGTGTAACTAGCTGGCAACACATCTTCTCGAAAGCATTACGCCGCCCTTTCGCCCTGTTTATCCATGAGCCCATCGTTCAGCTTCTGGGACTGTATATGGCATTCATCTATGGTATCCTCTACCGTACGTACGTCCTACTTCTCCATTTCCTTACCCTAATTGACGTCTCCGGGCTAGTTTACCTGACGACTATACACAGCATATTCCGAGACGTCTACCACCACCCATCGGGTGTAGCTGGGCTACACTACTTTGCGCTCGGGTTCGGGTTGATATTCACTTCCCAGTTCAATTCGCGCACCATGGATAGGGTTTATATTTACCTGAGAGACCGAAACGGGGGCATTGGGGAGCCGGAGTTTCGAATTCGTGCGTTGATTTGCTTGTTTGCTAAAATCGGCTAATTGATTTGTAGCCTCGATGTTTCCTGGGTCGGTGATACTTCCCATCGGGCTCCTCATAAGCGGGTGGGCTGCGGAGAAGCAGGTTCATTGGGTGGTGGTTGACGTAGGGATGGCGCTCGTGGGCGCGGGTATGATCCTGAGCGTTCAGAGCATTCAGACGTATTTGGTTGACACCTTCACACTGTTTGCTGCATCTGGTTAGTCCGTTTCTACTTCCTGTCTGTTCTCATATTGATCGTGAGTTCAGTATTAGCAACGGTCACGTTCATGCGGTCGGTCTTTTCGTTTGGATTTCCCTTGTTTGCGCCGGCGATGTACGCGAAGCTCGGTTATGGAAAGGGCGATACACTTTTGGCGGTGGTGGCGATTATCATTGGATGTCCTTCGTGAGTCTCCGAAAGTTTCATGATGTACGCGATCCTAATCCTGCCCTCCAGACCGTTCTTGTTTTGGAAATATGGCAAAGCTATCAGGACGCGGAGTCGTCATACAATGAAACCAGTTGTGTCATGATGGATACGAACGCTGCGGCGTTATTAGTTAGAGCGGGAGAGTGATTAGACTGCTAGAACTCTGGAGGCTGTATATAAAACAGTAACTCCTTTTCACCGTGTATTACTTCGCGAATGTATTCCAACTGGGCAACTATAATCTCGACTCAACAAGTTACTAAGCAGTGCTGCAGTAAGTCTGTGGGTACAACTGGTAAACGTACCAACATCACTCCAGTCCCTTTCACGTAAGCAGGACTCCGATAAAAACGCGATGTGCGTTCGTAAAGCCTACTTAATATACGCCACACTTTCCCTGTCATTTCAAACCTCAGGGCGCAACCGGTTTCAAATAGTTTTCCCTCATAAACACATAGAATAGCCACATTAGTATAGGTAGAATACCTGTTTGACGCTCACTGTCACCAGCTACTTGTAGTTGGAATGGCATGTATCATAGTATACTCAGGAAACATATATAGGACTGCATAGCAAGATCATAAACTCAAACCAATCGTCGCCTCTTCCACACTCTATGCCAAAACGGCTGAAAACACCCCATGCAATCCACGACATCCACGACATCCACCTCCTTCATAAACGTCTTCACCGCCTTAAATCTCTTCGCATTCAACATCCGAGGCTTCCATTCGCCTTCGCCCTCCTCATTCTTGACCCACGCCATTAAACAGCACCTTTTTCAGTTCCGGCAGGCCGTCCGCGAGCACATCAATCATCTCGAGCTGCGTCTCCAAATACACCACGAACAATCACGCTTCGACCGCCCCACTTCAAGCGTAAAGTACGCGTCATCAAAAGTGATAAGGAGCTCTTCAACCGAGAAGCGCGTCTCCCTCTCCTCGCACATCACACCAAGCTCGTAAGCTCATGTCGCATAATATCAAAAGTAAACTCACCTCGAACATCTTGGGAACCGTATACTGGTCCGAGTCATGGTCGGCCGTACCCGTATAGATCACCCTCATCACCCTGAGCTGCGGTACAGGTTTGTCCACAGGCGGAACGACCCATGCCGAATTAAGATTACAATCGAAAACAACCAACTCCCGTATATTCGTGGTCCTAAAGTCGGGTCGAGGAATGGATGCGACGAGTCCTCTTCGCTGTTCGTACCCCTGGAATCGAGGACTTGCAACTTGGGTCCTAGGGAGAAGAACTTGGGCAGAAGCCCAGGCGGGGCTTTAAACGAGACGAGGCTGTGGAAGGGAAGATCTGCCCAAAGTGAGTATCGATCACGTCGTGGATCTGGATGTGCGTGAGGGAACGCCTGGAGTCTATTGTACAGGAAGCGGGTGTCATGCCATGAGACCTGCATGGCGTAGATTTCGAGATGCTCTAGGGCGGCGTGATGGGCAATACACGAGTCGATGGTGAAGAGCGCGTCCGTGTAGAGCCGCCGGAGATTAGAGATTGGTATGATGCATGGGGATCGCATCAGGCGGCACTGAGAAGACCTCCCAGTGATATTCAGCTCCTCCAGCCCTTGCATAGCGCCAAACACGGCCTTGAGCTCGTCGTCTGAAACCTCGCCGCTGGCATGGCAGCTGGCCGCGATCTTCAGCACCTTCAAGCGCGGTGCCACGACCTCCACCAGCTTCAGCACCCTCTTCGTAATAAGCGCATCCGTAATCGTCAACCCTTCCACCGGCATGCGTGCCAGTGCAGCCTCGACAATCTCCCCGAACCCGTCCTCCTCTAAAAAGGAGTCAGAGAACCGCCACGAATTAAACAGCGCAAGCGCATGGTCTCCAATTTAAATCTTTTTCTCGAAGCTCGCTATGTGTAGACCCAATTTCGTCTTGAGCGCCACCGAGGTCACGAAGTTTGTTGTCATCATGGCAGAGACACAGAACGGCGCAGAGCTCCAGATGATTGGGCGCGCGACGGAAGCGAAGTACTTGCATACGCCCATTATTGAGCGGAAATCCTCCATGTGTTCTTTAGTGGAGAACGCATCGTCCAGCAATGGTTTCAAGTGCCTGGAGATTTCATGACCGCTCTATAGGAGGGCTAATCTGCTGTCCGCATTGTAAATTGATTGTGGACGCGACAGAAGAAATTATGAGGTCAGTGATCTCTTCCAATATATGACGCAAGGGCAGGAGCTTGAGGCATCGTATATCCTGCGAGAAATAACCCATCTCCAGTACGGGCAGAGCACAGGGTTATAAGTGTGGCGCAGGAAAACCTCAACCTTGAAAGACTCGAACCACCAGGCGCGTTTCAAGGGACGCGTGCTATAGTATCCTTCCCGTTTGAACGACGTTGTGAAGTCCCAGACAGATACGTAGACGTATAGTATGGAGTGAGAGCACTGCGTCCAGGGCGTATCTTCGGCGCCAAGTGAAGATTAAGAATCGTCTGGAGAAACAATAATCACCTGCAACTTAGTTTAGGCTATCATACCAGGAAGAATGGGCTATGTCGTGATGCGTAGACTGTAGTTTTGTTTACCTGGACGGCCATTCAGTACTTACGCGTCATTCTGCATAAGCTCGGCAGAGGGAAGTTTGCCCTAAGCTGATTAGTGTGCATTCTATTACCATCGCTCAGCAGTGTCTGATGAGCGGCGACCCATACGACTGCATCTATCAAAGTGGTTAGTCCGCACTCCAAACTCACAATGCGATTATGGCAGAGGGGGTATACTTCGAAGACACGCCGCGAAAAGTTGCAGAGAAACGTACAAACAGTAATGGCTTGAGTAGTAATGGATACAGTGGGATAGAAATACATGTGACGGGAAATGAACTGTCCGTTTACAGCGCCATGGAGATGCCTACAAGTGCAGGCCACAGAACAGCGACAAACCGATTGAGGTCGAGGTCTAGGCGTCGCGAAGCCGAGTTGGATTTAGTGGTGGCAGAACTGACATCTGCGATTGAGGAGGAAATTGTTGCGGGCGTGAGGGTATAAGAATCAAGGGTGGAGGAGGAGACGCTGGGTACAGAGGAAGCCTGAAAGGCGAGCTGAGCTTCCGAGGATTGTGTTTGGGCGATGCCATCAATGGTAAAGTTGGACGTGTAGACGATCTTGTAGGGTTTTGCGCTGATCATGCGCATAGTGCTACAGAGAATAAACGCCTTGATCGGAATCAAGGTAGACGACTTACTAGACGTTTCCGATGTACGGCAGGTCGCGAGAAAGGTAGACGGTGTATGTGCCGGATTCTGGATGAACATTACGCGCCAGAGTCGTGATATAAGTCTGGATAGCGGTGATACAGACTGTCCATATCGATGGAAGCAAAACACATACGTGTTCGCCGGCAAACAGCTCGACCTTGAACGGGCCCATGGGTCCTGATGGGCGATCGTCGTTCCATTCGAGCACGGCGGGCTGCCCAGCAGTGTACACCGTGTCGTGTACCGGTCGGGTAGGGTATATCGCGGCGTTGGCAATGGCGGCAAGGGCGAGAGTGGCGATGAGCAGAAAAATCGACATGGTGGAGGGAAGGCAAGAGACAGCGAGCGTGTTCTGCACGTTCGAGATGCACCAACCCATGGCAAATTTACGTGGTGAGACCAGGGTGAGACGATAGTTTCCTTCCCATAGACACCGATGGTGAAGCGGTTATCATGCTTGCCTTCCACAGAGTTCACAGAGCAAGCGGCAGGGGTTCGACTCCCCTTCGGTGTACTTCTTTTGCCCCTCTCAGTGGCTCGCGTAGATGCCGCTTCGTCTGGTGAAAACACAGTTTGTAGAGGATAGAATTCGGCTGGAATTCGGTAGCCAGACTTTCGACACATACACGGTGTTGCGTTGGCATCATGTACACTTGAAGTATAGCATAGTAGAAAACGAAACAAGTCCACATATCTAGGCGCTCGACTTCAAGTTGTACTTCGTGTTCTGTACTTCCAACAAGTGCTCTGATGGAAATATTCTTTATCATCGTCGCATCAAATTTGAATCGGTGGAGAGCAATATTCTAGTCGACGAGCCGCCTTTATTCTTAATAAGTACGCTACACCGCTACCGTGAACAACCTCTCAAGGATTCACAATAGCAAGCCCTCACACGCTCACGTACCATACGTACACGCTGCCAAATACACCGCCGTCATCGCCATCTCCGCCTCCCTGTTCAACAAAGTTAACAATCACCATCACTCATACTAGTCACTACTCACGTCCCAGCCCGTCCCAATGGTGTCGGTGCACTAAATCCCGGAAGCGGTGTATCCATATTCTGAAGACTCTCAGTGGGAATCATCTCCGAAGCGAAAGCACCCGGGTGGATAACATTGACGCGAATGGGAATCTTGCGGTGCATGAAATCCGTAGCAAGCCCTATTTTCTCCAGCGTGGACTTGGAAGCGCCGTACGCCATCAGTGTATCAGTGAAATGTACAAGTAGATCAAACGGGCTTACTTACACTGAGGATGGGTATCCAAGACCGGATAGACGCCGCCGCGGACCCAACGTTGATCACACACGCAGTGCTCTCCCGTGCCTCTGCGCCCTTGACGAGGAGCGCGGAAAACGCCCGGACCATGAAGAAAGTGGCGAACGAGTTGATGTTAAACACGTCGGGTCTCGTGCTCAAACCCGCCGACCACATTACCCGCTCCGTAAGTTCTCCATTCCAAAGTTGGGATACGTAGAGGGCAACGGACCGGCGACATCTGCGCTACGGAGAGGATGAGCACGAGGACGAGCCTGTCATGTGACGGCGTACTTGTTAACAAGATTATCGAGTCGCCCATCTGCGGCCTGGATGTGCTCGGTGGCCGCATTGACACTGGCTTGGTCCGTGACGTCCATGCGTAGTCTAAGAACATTGGTCGGGTGTGAACCATCTTGGGCCACATACGAGATCAAGACGCCCTCTTCGGCGGACACCGACGCAGCAGCCGCGCGGAGCGTCTCTTCGCGCCGACCAGTGATGTACACTTTTGCGCCGTTGGCTGCGAGGTCCTTTGCGATTACGAAGCCACTGTGAAGAGGATCAGTTAATCGTCTCTGTGTGGATGAGGGATCAATGCTCACATTCCGGTGCCGCCACCAGTAACCAGAGCGACTTGGCCGTTGGGAGACATGACTATGAGTATGATATGAGTTGGGGCTGACCGCGCTAGCATGTCCCGGCTACACGCCCGCGGTCATCAAGCAGTGTCGCATGTGAGTGAGCACTCAAGTTGCCGTCGTTTGCATGCACTACTTGATGAGTGACGAGCAACTACCAGACCCCATGGTAGTCACTCCAAATAATCCGGGATTGAAAGTTAAATTCATTGAATACACGGCGTATCCACCAACTGAACCATTAGGATTTGACGTTACAACAAGTAGCTAGCCGAAACCCCGCAGTGCCAGCGCAGGGGCGCCTCGCTGGCCGTCTGCTATCACACACACAGCGTATATGTCTTGCTCGTCTTGAAACAGAAGCCGCAGACCAAGGGAGACATCCTCGCGCGGCTTGAACCCGAATTCTCCCTGTCAACGCCCGTGACAGCCCGTAAACAGCCTGCTATGAAGCTGTTCTCAGGCCACCCCTCGTCGCTCCAGAAGTACACGGCTCACAAAACGCCGCCACCCTGGGGAGGAGCGCTATCCTCCTCGAGGCGGACATTGATGCTTGCACCCACACAGTCGTCCTGCCGAGCAGCGGCGCTCTCGTCAAGGTACACTGGTGCGACTGTCCATGCGTCTCATCCAGGCAGACAACAAGCCAAGGTGACACTCACGCAGTCATCCTAACGAGCAGCGGCGCTCGCGTCGAGGTGCACTGGTGCAGTGTACATGTGTACGAGAACATCTAAAGGCGGAGCATACATGTCGAAACATCAATGTTGGCGACGTTCAGCTGAGACATTGTAAGTCACTTTATTCACGATAAAATACGGGATAAAATACCGGCACGTCGAAACAGAGATCTCAGAGATCTGGAGAGATCTCCCCGTCCAAATTGGAGCGACCAAGCCGGAACTGTTGATCGGGAAGACCTCGCCCGATTGTTGGTAGTGTTCGCCACCCTGGATTTGATCTTAAATCCGGACACGAGCGAAATCCAGACATGAGTGAGGACCACTTCTGTGAGAGAATTGCAAGCTGCTATGGTGTAACCGTTTAGGTGGCGTTAGCTGGGACGATGCATTTTGGTACGACCGCGTGCAATGACGCACTTCGATGTCCGTTTTGTTGGAAACGGACATTGAAGTGCGTCATCGCTGAGTCGGCCACGTCGCGGAGTCCTTGAACTGCTCTTCCTATACATTGAAGTCGTTTGCCAGAAGCCCTTCGCACGCATTGATATCTTGTCCAGTTTCTCAATATACATCCTTTATTTCGTGCCTACAAGAGTGCATGCTTGAGCTCACCACACTGGTGCTACTATACGTCCTCAAAATACTGAGCCTTCTGCTAATCAAGTTGGCGGTACAATGTTGCGTGTTTGACCTCACATGTCACCAATAAAGAATGCCAAGAGAAGAACAGCATAAGGCAACATGTAACGAATCCAATGATATATTGACGGAGGCTGTAACGGCGGTCGCATATTTCAGCCTGATGTCGAGCTGGCCCGTCTTGCTGCCCTGTTATTTTGAGTTATAATGATGGTTATAACAGCTATTATACCACTTACCATGGCTTATTCCACTTATCGGCGCAGCGTGGCTACGGATCCGACCGCGACTGGTGGAGACACGAATGCGTGTCAGAGTCAGGTGCTTGTTACTGTCACATTTATTTTCTTTGTTCTTGCCATCATGGCCCACTGCCAGCCAGAAGCAGCTTGAACCTTTGTCCTTGCTTTCTCCCATACCGCATCCGACGACGCACACATTTTTCATCATGGCAACCGGCGCTGGAAAAGCAAATTGATTTCGAAGCTTTCGCTTGAACCCAACGGTTTTGACAACCAGGGCAATATGTGACTGCACCAGCTGCTTGCCACCCTCTCAAGCAGTAGAGTCGGACGCGAGTATAGAATAAAAAAAGTACTCACGAATAAACTCATACTCATCATGCAAGCCAAGAGTATACTCGCACGTGAGTAGAGTAGAGTCTAGAGTCTATGGTGAGTCTAGAGTTTCAGTTTGGGGCCACGAATACTCGATAGACTCATACTCATAAATATTCGTGAATACTCATGAGTATTCTTATATTCGTGAGTATTCGTGAGTATTCAGCTCCTAATATATATTTTTTGAACAAAATGAACCCCGTGAGCATTGAACCCACGGAGCTCAGCCATTTCTGTGCATCAGCACAACAACGAGTATAACCACTGCGCCAAAAGGGCATATTCATTATACAATTTCAGTCCAGATCACACATAATTAGGTAAAATGCCATTAGCAAAAAAAAGGACAAAGGCCATGAAGGCCATACAAAATGTTGTGCTACAAACAAACCTGATGCGAGTACTGTTGCGAAGCGCTTGAGCTGTCCCGCCACTAGTACTGATGTCGAACGACTCTTCTCGCACAGTGGTCTTGTCGTCTCCAAACGACGACACAATCTCGCTGCGGACTCAATTCGAGAGACCACGATACTTGGACAGTGGCTTGCCATTGAGGATCTTGTCCCCGAGCAGAAGATTGCGAAGTTCTTGCACAATCGGAAGTTACGGAAGAAGGATTTGAATGAGGACCTCTCGACCGACTGGACGGATTCGGATGCAGACGCAGACGGAGGTGACGATTCCTCGGAGGATGCTGCACCGATGGATGTTTCCGATTCAGAGGTGGAGGTTGTCGAGGAGGTTGTCGAGGAGGATGAGGTTGTCGAGGAGGACGAGGTGGTTGACGAGGATGAGGTGGTTGACGAGGATGGGGATGATGTTGAGGAGAACTTGTGGACCAAGAGGAAGGGGAAGGGCAAGGCTGTTGCACAGTCGGAGGAGATGGACTTTTCTGATTTCCGCGATGGTATGGATCCTGTCTCAGAGTTTGACACGGGTCATGATGGTGATGTTGAGATTGACGATGATGACGATGATCTCTATGAAACGATTGAGCAGGTAGTTTTGGTTCGACGGCGCAAGCCTGCTTCTTCACCTCAGGATACTACTGATATGGATGCTACTGATATGGATATAACTTGATACACTTACGACCTACTTACTTTAATCTTCACTGTCTTTATGTTTGAATTTGCTTGCTGATACGTGAGTATACTCGAGTATACTCGGATCGTACTCGAGTACTCGAATACTCGAGACTCATGAAGTACTCTCGAGTAGAGTAGATATTCGAGTAGAGTCTCGAGTGAAGACTCGAGTCTTGAGTATTGGGTTTGAGGTAAGAGTTACTCATACGATGAGTCCGAATATACTCGAGTATGGACTCGTGTCCATCTCTATCAAGCAGCAAACAACGTGCATTTCCAACTGTGCCATCACTGCGGGCGCCATTTGCCTCCAGTATCGCATCTGCCGGGCCACCTCTGAACCGTCACAGATTGACGCTGCCGACGGAGAACCCATACCTGGCGCGCGCCACAATCTGCTCTCCCCAGACCCTCACCACCCTCCAACTTGTACTCTCCAGGAGACGTGCCAGCAGCCATCGCCCTTGTTGATTGACACTGCCGACAAGAACCCATACCTAACGCGATCTGCTCTCCCCGGACCCTCATCACCCTCCAACTTGTACTCTGCACCTCAGCAGACGTACCAGCAGCCTTCGCTG